CCAATGAAAGCCAAATCATTATAATAGGAATACTCAAAATTAATTTAAATGAAATGTCTGTCTTGTTCCTTGCTAATGAGGATTTGCTAAACTACACGACATGGAAAATGAATACATTATGTAAGTTACTGAAAAGCACAATAATTAACTCCCACACAGAATTTGCTGTTAGTGAAATTTTGCAGCATATCAAATTATAAATATTTTAAACAATTTTAAATAAATTTGAAATTTAAAAAAAAATAAAAATTTAGAATTTAAACAATTTATGTTGGTAGTAAAATTGTGACATGTATGTAATTTTAGAAAACAAAAAAGACCCTCTAAATGATGTCTTGATCCTTCAGGGTAGATTAATATTGGAGAAATCTTGCTTCAAATATTATTTGATCAAATGTTTAAAGATCTTACCAGATATTTTTGAAAACAAGTGTAATTAGTTTGTATTCATTTTCCGAAGTAAAGTTAATATTATACTTATAAACAATAGACATACATATACCTTTGCAAAAATTATACATCAAAACATGAAAAAGGAGACTCTTATTTCCTCAAAAAACAATTTTTAAGAATGATTAATTAAATTTTCACAAGATTTGTTGTGGTAAATAACTTGTCATACCAAACAAAAAAGAATTTAAAAAAAATTAAATGCTATTGCATAATTTAATTATGTAAACAAAAATTGTGTTCTCCTTTTCCATACAATGCATTTTACAACAAAAGATAATATTCTACCTATCAGAAGCACCATAGTGTCATATGTTAACAATTTATTTATAGAATAACTTTTGTTGCGTTTTTGATTTGACCAATTTAAAAATGTATACTGTACTAATTAGATGTTCATTTAATCTAAATTATAAAGCACAGTAATTAATTGTATTTAAGCAAAAGAAAAACATCAATTTAAAATATATATATAAAATTTTCCCAAATTTAATTTTGAATAAGAAATTTAATAGTGCTTCGGATAAATTTACAAATTTACAGGTAAACCTACTTAATCAACGCTTTCTCAAAAACATCACTTATGGATCAGATTATAGCAACATATGAAAATGGAGGCGAAGCTTACGCATTGTGTAGCAGAAAGTTTGTTTAACAAAAGGATATTAGAAGTAAATATTTTTTTTTTTTTTTTTTTTTTTTTTTTT